CGCTCGCCGTCATCCTCCCTGTTGGCCGCCTCCTGCATCCGCGGATATCCTGCAGGCGCGCGCGCATGTAACGCGCCCTCACTCGCCTGCCAAGAACTCCCTGAGCGCACCGCTCACCTTATTAACGAAAGTTTGTCAGGTTAGAGAATTCGTAAGGTTAAACGTGTCTGTAGGTACCTACGCCATTCTTTTTTTTTTTATAGAAGATTAGTATTAAGTATTAACAATTAACGTTAATTACACTTCGTACAGATATTGAGGTATAGAGCACTCGTATTTGAGCCACTCAGAAGTCAACTTGAGTAACTTCGTCAAGTTATGTTTATAACATTTTTTTTATTTATGAAGAATTAAGAATTAATTACTAAGCACGTGCTTTGGTAATTAATTGGAAGAATTTGAGAAAGTGAAGTTAATCATTATGACTTCTGAGCGAGGCTCGTTTATAAGATGTTAGAGTTACAACACGTTCGTTGTCATCGTTGCAGTATATGCAACAGAATGGTTCGCTCGGTGCGCCACCGTCGACACCGTGTCGACTGGTCACCGTTGTGATATTAGAAATCGATGTAGCCTCTGTGCGATTGATGGAAATTCTAATGAAAATCAAATGTCTGGTAGAAAGATGCGAATTGATGGCACACGACACGTCCCTCGCGATTTTCTGGCGGCAGCGAAAGTGTTATGCGGCCGCATGGTAATTTAAGCATTGCGAGTTCCAGCCGCGGTATTCTAGTGAAGCACGAATTACACAAAAATTTTGTATAATTGAACATACGTAAAAGTTTTGAAATACACGAACCGTTTAACACTAGAACAACCAAACCCGTGAAAATGACGGATTTCAGATTTCGTACATTAAGTAACAGAAATGATTCAAATGCCTTTGGTCACGACGACTTCTGTTGAAATAAACGAATAATTATACTATACGCTAATTTATTTTCCATTAATCTTCCCAGTTTCGATGTTCTTTATATAGTATACACCTAAATAAACAAGAAGGGGGAAAATATACTGTACATTTAACTCCGGTTCTTCTACAGTGTTTTAAGTCACCAGGCAAAAACCGGAAGTGAAACGTCACTTGGAACTTCTAGAACTAAAAACTAGACACCTTCACCTGTGATACACTTCTTCCTATCGGCAATGTCCTTCTATTCACCAGTCTCGCTAGTCTACCGCCCGTCAGACGGAGTAAACAAACTCATTAACGAAACAAAACGAGCGGTAAGGCCGCGGGAAACGTTGGCGTCGATCGGTTCCAGGAGGCGACACGACGACCACGAAGCGGAAAACGCACGGAGCCGATAGAGCTTGACAGAGGGGGAGGAAGCGTGTGTAAGAGAGTGTCCCCGCGAGTGTGCAATTAAATCAGCGCGTGACAGGCGCAGTGGCGGACGCGCGCGCGCGCGGTCAGCGCGCAGCAGTTAATATACGCGTGTACACACGGAATGGGGGTAGTTTGATTGGGCCAATTCGAGGCAATTCCTGGCGATTGCTGGTTTCATTGAGCCTGCGCTTAAGAGCTCAGTGCCACGCTGCCGGTCAACGGACATGGATCTCTTCGAAAGTATAGGTACTCTTACCTTTCTCGTCCTTTCGAGAATCGATCGTCCTTTATCGATCGTACATCGATACGTCCCGCGATTACACCTGTCCGATTCGTTCGATAACGGATAGGAGAGAGGGAGAGACAGGGAGAGACCGGGAGAGACAGGGAGAGACGGTTGCTGAGAGATTGGATGATTCGGTGACGACAACAGTGACGACGCGATTCGGTGATCCGTGGACGGTGAATGAGACGCGAATCGATGGGAGAATCGTGACGAGGACCGGTGACGCCGTGGAACGCACGTCGATCATCCGCAAGCGCGCTCTGTGTGATCTTTCGAATCGTTTGATCGAGGTTCAAGGTTTCGGTTCAAGGACTTCTACGAATGATCAGATGGAGAGGAGTCATGTGTGCATTTGTGGCGTGTGAGATCGACGGTGGAATTTTCGTGGGATGTTGGAAGATCGACAGTTCGGTTGGAAGTTGGAGTTTATTCGTGGGAAGATCGAAGATGTTTGTGGAGAAATGGTTCTGTAATCGTGGATTTCCTGGAGGCTCAGGTAAAGTGTGACATAGTGTTTCGTTAGAATTTTAGTCTGCATATTTTTATTTGAAATTTTTGGGTACGATTATGGAGATTGCGGTAAAATCTGCGGAGGATAGGTTGCGAGATATTAAAAATCCCGGATAGTAGGGAACATTGTATACTGTGTGTACTATAAGTACCTGTGATAAAGTTTAATCGATTAATTAGGTAGAATAAGAGATTAATAACTGATAATAAGATATAATAACGAAAGTTACGCGAACGTGGGCTCTCTCTAAAATATTCACGCGACGAGATGAAACGAGGTGAATTTAAGAATTTTTTCACTGTTTTAATATTTAACAGTTTGTTGCTTTTTAACTACTTTTGAGTAGATCACCGGTGTTGCGAAGGAAATATAGTAATTTAGAGAAAAGAAAGGATGGACTTCAAGGAATAATTCTATACGATGATGTAACATAAAAACTGCCTCTATAATTAACGTCAGCGTTCGCCATTATGGCGCAAGTAGTTCCAGCTTTCTGCGTGAATCCGATGACCTCGTGTTGCACCAGATTTACACTCGACTGTGACACATTCTACCTACTTTTCCATCGTTGTTCAACTTATACTATTTGTTCTAACTTCTTCTTGGAAATTTACCAAATTTTCTGTAAACATTTCCAATCTCCATTTCTTCACGATTCGAAATTAAGTGGTTTCACTAAGTTTCCCTAATAAAGTATCCCATAAATTCCTCTACGAAGAATTCAGATCTTCAGCTTTCGAAATATCCAATGAAACATTTCTACCTTCAACGAACACAATCTTCGATATATCTGCAGGGTGCTTCAGAAAAAATGTTAACAATTACGATGAACAAAGTGGACAACTCTTTGAAAACAAAACTTCTTCTAATTCTTCATAGATTTAAATCAACGATCAGTCGAGTGATAAGAGAAAGTTTAACAAATTCTTAAAGATGCCATCGTTTTCCTGAAAATTCTCGCATAACTTATACAGTGATCCCAAAACAACAGCCTGATCATTTTTTTCCACGACCACCTACCAACTCACTTCTGCAGCGGAATCTTTCGAAAACAACAAACGACAAACATTCACGAACTTTAGTCAATTCGTGAAAATTCAAGTAAAACATAGCAATTCAAACATAATCCACCCTAAAAAAGAAAGAAAAAACATGCATCAATTTGTCCGAAAACGGTACCAATCCACAGTACCCCATCCCCGAATCATCTCTAAAAGAAACGATCGGGGTCGGTTGGGGTCAAGCGCAAGGAGTCCATAGTCGAAGCGTAACGCACAATTTTCCCATACCTACATCTTCTCCGCCGTCGTATCGTGCACAAACCTCGCCGCTCTGATTCCCACATGCCCCTCCAACGAAACCAAGCACCTACCACACACAGTGTACCAGTCCTCGTTCTCCATCCGGGGGCGGTCGCAATGGTGGCACTAAACGTTCACACTGGCAAACGCAGAAAAGAAAAAAACAACACACAACAGTACACAGACACACACACACACACATGTACGTATCCATGCAGAAGCAAAGGGAAAGAAAGAAGAGTGCGAGGAAGAAGGGTGAAGCGAAGATAGTAGAAGCGCGCGGAGATGTGAAACGTTAGGGAGAGGAGGTAAGGATCGACGTTTGCGAAGAGAGAGAGAGAGAGCGAACCGAGGGGGACGGAAAAGTGACGGACAGAGACGGTGTACAGACGAGAAGAGAAAAAGAGAAAGAAAGAGGAAGAAAAACAGGAGGCGAGTATATACCGCGCCCGCATAAAACGGCCCTCCTCTCTTCGAACACGCACCGCGTACTAGGTGCTACAGGATTGGTTGGCTTCCATGTGTGGGGGCGGCCTGGCCGGCAACCCGTTGAAAATATAAGCGTGTGTGAGTGTCGGTTGATTAGCCAGAGTCAGAACGGATCGTCGCTAGTGCGACAGTGTCCGGTTGGGCCAGCTCTTCTCGTATCCGCGCGATCAACTCACTTCATACACCATAACCGTCACGATATAATACAGTTTCTGAAACGTGAAACTGTAAGGAGGAAGAAAACGAAGAAGAAGAGGAAGGAATTATTTGATAATAAGAAGAAGAATAAGTGAAATTTGGAAATATCCGAAGTCTACCTGTCGTTAGAAGGAAAAAATTTACGATAGATCGTTGTATATAATACACTTCTGTCCGAGGGGGGAGCCCTGTTAAGTTTCACGTTCGTTCACATTCTGGAAGATGTTCCTTACACGACGACACTCTTCTCTGTGCCCGCTTCGTTAGCCCGTACTAATCAAAATTAATCATAACCCGGGCAACAATTGATCACAATTGGCCCGGATTCCATTACGGAGGACGCGCGAACCCGACGACCGCCATCCTGCGCGCGCCTTTTTGCATAATTGGCCCGACGCGATCGCCGGCCGTTTAACAAAGAGAAAAGCTGCTAAAGAGAGGAATCAGCAGTGTTGAAACGAGATATTCCATTGGGCCAGATCTTGATTAATTGAACAGGTGGATACGTGGTACGCGTTGGTGATTGAAGAGGGTGATTGATAACGCTCCGAGTTTCTCCTGCTTGAGATTGTGAATTGTTTCAATTGAGCCTGGATTTGAACTTGTCGTTTTTTCTTCTTTTTTTTCGTTTTTCCTCTTTCTTTGGCTGAAAGAAGAGGTTCGTTGAAAAATGGAGCCACGTGTCGTCTGTTAGGAGAGACAAGTTCGAAACTTGAAGAACAACAAGGATAACATATCGTGACCGGTGGAAGTGTAACGATATTGCAATTGATTCATTTCCAAGTGAGACACGTCGTAGGAAAGGATATTATCCGAAGAAGAATTTTTTCTCTCGACCGAGTTCCGAACGTTTCGAGGATTTTTAGTAAGAAGAGGAGAAAGATGGACGGAGGTCCTTTCGACGATCCGATTTTCTCCGATTTCGGTGCTCGAGGTGGTGGCTCGGGGGTTCACAGTATTCAAGTGATGCTCGGTCTTCATGGTGGACACCACGGTAGCGATTTAATGCCAACCGGGGGACATCTTCATAAGTTGGACTCTTCGAATAGTCCACCGCCCCATCATCAGACCTCTCATCATCATCTCCAGCAACAGCAACAGCAACAGAAAGAGCTGAAGGAGTTAGAATTGGCTGGAATGTACGCTCCGCTTCCTCAGACACAGGATGTCACCACTTCGACGTCCAGCGCCGCGACGCCGACGTCTACGACACTGCAACAGAGTTTGCAGCTTGGGAATCCGTTGAAGAGGAAGGCAGAGGATCCGATGAACACTCTTGCTCCAGGTTAGTAGAGGGAATATATGTAATTTTTCGGTGTACTTTATTAAGATTTATCGAAAGAAGCGTAATTTTTGAAGAAATTCGAAGAAGTTCAATTCGACACAACTGGGAATTTAGTTTTCGAAAGGAGCAAATTATTGGAGTATTTTTGATATCGAATGTATTACATATTAGAGGAGATCCTTAGGGCTGTTTTCAATTGTGTTGCAGTGAGCAGCGAGGCGCAACCGGCTAAGAAAGACTCCAAGAAGAAGACTGATAATAATGGAATCAAGAAAAAGAAGACTAGGTATCTATTTTCTCTTCTGAGATTATTTTTAATAAAAAAAAATAAAAACATGTTTTTTAAGTTTTTCAACGTGAAACTAACAAGTTACAATTTTGATCTGTCGAACGGTTGATTCGTTGTAAAATTTGGGCTTGTTGCCTCCATCACGCCACATACCTCCAGTTCCTTGGCATTAGTCACACGTTTCGCTGAAATAGAATTCAGAAAACATTCAGAAAACAGAATTCTGTAATAAAATTATTACAGAACAACGTTCACGGCTTATCAATTGGAGGAGTTGGAAAGAGCATTCGAGCGTGCACCGTATCCTGATGTGTTCGCGCGAGAAGAACTCGCCTTGAAACTTGCTCTTTCGGAGTCCAGGGTTCAAGTTTGGTTTCAAAATCGACGTGCAAAATGGCGGAAGAGAGAACCACCGCGTAAAACTGCCGGTTACATGGCTGCTGGCTCAGCGAGTCCCGGCTTATCAGGTAATTACGGTAAAAATGATCAATTAACGAGTTTAACGCTTGCTTCGTTTGATTGGTTGTGATTTTTCTGGTCCCTCAATTCTAAAGGATAGATCGTACAGGGAAACGTATACTGAGATTATTATATTAATAAAGATGGTGCTTGACTTACTATAATTGTGATAGTTTATAATACTAAAACGCTGTAACCATTTTGTTTTTTTATTTAATTAGATGATTCGCGTATAGAAGACTGAAAATCAAAAGTAAAGTAAAAAGCGCTTCATTTACAACAAGTTAATTATGAACTTCGAAATAATATTACAGTCGCGTGAAAAGTTAATATAAGTACACTTTACCGCCACCTGAACTGTCATTCACCATTCCATTCTTAAGTTGTACTCTCATTTCTATGTCATATTTACGTAAACAATACCTACTATATCGACCATAGTAAAATTTGAAATATTTAGAGGTTCCACAATGATCGTTAACGTTAGCCTAAAATCAATTGAAAAAGCAAAACGTGTTAAGATGAGAAGTCAACTTCTAGCAAAATGGTTAACCTATTAATAAAATGGATTTTCGTTTTTTTGAATTTTTTCAGGATCACTCACCTCGTTCAACAACACCCTAAATCCATTTGCCTCTCCAACTACGGCAACAGCTCCCCCAGACGCCTGGGCTTATTCGCCAGCGTACGATTTGGCGCCACATCTGAATCTACTCAGTCCGTCCAACTCCCCGTACTCCACCTCTTTCGGTGGACCGAGCAATAACGGGTCGGCGTACTCGTACGCGACGATGCTTCCGCAGCACGACGCCTCGTTATTTTCCACGCCGTCGGGCAACACGATGCGCGTACACCAAGATTACATTAACGCTAGTAACAGTCCGCCGCCTCCTCTCACACGCAACGACTATCAGACTATGGTGACCACCCACTCGCCACCCACGCATCTGGCCAACTCCATGTCTGAGGAGGAACATCAGCAGAACAAACAGTTGGATTACGTCAGTGGTCTTAGTCCAGCGGATAAATATCAGCACGAGCAACCTGACTATACGCAACAGCAACAACAGCAACAACAACAGGATCAGAAGCAGGAATACGGAATGCATTCACCACAAGGTCGCCAAGGTATGAAGGAGCAAGTGATGGTGAAGAGCGAACCAACCAGCCAACAGAACTATGTCCAATTGCCTCCTTTTCTGAACTGACTCGAAACCTCAAGTCTAGACTCACTCTAGAACACCTGGCAGTTCCAGTTTGGAATGCCTCCCTTCTGAAAAGGGAGTTTCAGGGTTGACAATGGGTCTTGGGTTTGAAGTCTTGAGATTTGAGTCTTTAGTGCAGAATTTGGATCTTCTTTGGGTCTCTTGACTGTGGAGATTTCTTTTGGCAAGGTTTCTGGAATATAATTGGAGTATATTGAGGAAGTGACTTTGTTGAGGTATGAAATATACTCTGAGTATAAGAAGAACTCTGAAAAAGAATTTTTTTGAACTTTCTTAATTGTAAATTGTATTTGTAGCAAAGGTGAATACATTGATCCTGTTCGGTATAATTCTTTCTTGTATCATATGATTTTGAGAAATTGGTAAGATTAATTTGGATTAGCTTTTCGAAACGAATTTTAATACTAAGGATATGATAATCAATGATATTTCTTAGTAAACCCTACGGAAAAATATCTTTTTTATAATACACATACATGTAAGAAGCATAAAGTATTTTAAGGGAAACGATTTGTAGAATGAGAGCATTCCAGTGCCTTAATAGAGTAATTTTGTATGAGGTGTGAGTACTTTTGTATCATTTTACCCTTCCTTCAATCTTATAAGAATGGAATCAAGCATTGATGTATTGTATTCTATTCATGTTGTGTATCAAAATGTATGCATATGTGTAGAGTGTAAAATATTGTCTGAGTTTGTAATATTTCTTATGCAAACATTTCATGTGTTTTTGTATTCTGTTCTTCTTCTTGCGATGTTTATAATTACTCGCGTTTAAATACACTTAAGAGTGAAGATGAAAAGTATGTAATTAATCGTTTGACAACAATGATGAGCCTTGAATAAATAACCTTTAAAAATTTGCGAAAATTTTTATTATATCGATAAAATTTATTGTAAACTATAACAATTTGTATGAGAAAATAATTTTTAATATATCAAAAACGTTCGAAATGTGCTATAAAAATAATCGTATTGTTTAAATGAATAATTTAGAATGTTACTAACAAATTATATTGTAATACAAATATATACATTTTTTGTATATGTACAGTCCATACTATCGAAGCAAATATTCAAGCCACGCCACTCCACTTACATTAAACAATATGTTATCGTTTTTACATATATATTCAACAAGATTATCAGATTCATTCTTACATATATCTTTGAAGACATTCGGACCGACATTTGACGTATCTGTCGACACCGTTTGCCAAACTGCATCTCCACTAAAGTGATACTTTCTTTCTAATATGTACAAGCATAATGCCAAATATTGTGTAGAAGTAAAATTATAACCATTTTTTGGAGAATATTCTCGACGTAATGAATTCAAAACACTAGCAACTTTAGACCTGAACATAGAAAAGTATCACGAATAATACTGTTAAAAATTGCTGCAAAATATATGAAATTACAATTAATACAAAGAAATTCTTACCTTGGATAAAGAATAATATGAATATTTTTACATATATCGTCTGCCGAATAATATTTCTTCAAACGCCGTAACATTTTATCGATGTGTACCAGCGAAACATGTTTCCAATAAGGATGCCTCATAATAGAATATATTACATAAGTCTTGTCTTCTCCTAATTCTTTACGCAATATATACACTAAATGTTTTTTTACAGCTGTATAAAAAATATCGCCCTCCACAAACCTAAAACATACATCACTGTTAACAATCTGAATATTAGTTAATATTCATGTTATCGACAAGTTTTATTTTTAACTTTGCTAGGTTTCTAACCTTAAGAAATACGTTTTATCCGATAAAAGTGTTTGAATATTCGCATTATACAAACAATTTAAGGGCCTAAGGTAGTTTACGCGATTCATCACTGTTTTATAGTAATAAATCATAGGCAGTATACGTCGATGTTGCAACCATACACCTAACTCATTGCTATTTCCAATATTCATGAATCTTTCAAGAAATATTTCTTTGTCCATTTTGAGAGCACATGCATAAGAAGAAAGTGCTTGAGAAGGTATCCCCAACAGATTATAAAGCTCTAATAATTCTTTTGCTTTATCAGCTTTACAAAATAAAATACGTGGAAATTTTTTTACAAAATTATTTACATTATTGCCATTTATATTTAAACCTTTGAGTTCAGTAAGAAACTCCTCAACATTAGCTGCATCCAGATTCAGAAGATATGGATGCTCTTTTAGCTGCAATATATATTATATTCTGTATTATCAAATTTCATTCAAAATATTTTCTGTTTTAGATGTGTATAATGAACAATAAGTAACAATACTTACAAATTCATTATCAAATTTGCATTCAGTTTTTAGTATATGTACTAATTTAGATATTTCTGTGATACTTTGATATTTCATCTTTCTATTTTTATAGAATAATGGATCATGTAGATTTAAGTAAATTGTTTTATAATATAGCATACATGTTTGATAGTAATCACCTGTTCGTATATTGGGATTAAATTCTGTGAAATTTTGAATGTCCTTACTGTTTGTTATACCCATATAATTAAGTAAGTTTTGCATGATATTCTGATTCACTGGAATATTATGACTTCTTTTGAAACATTTTAATGATTTCCGCATTCTATTTGAAAACCTAAAACATAAAATAGCTATAGTTAATAACAACATATGTTACATGCTTTAGACTTTTATTTATAGAATAACATATTGGAAATATATTTAGTAACATATACACACCCAAAGATATGCTGTAAACCTATGGATTTGACACCCATTTCCTTAAGTATAGCAATTCTGTTTTTTATAATTATAGGCTGAAGACTTAAACAACATGCCAAATATTCTATATGTTCTAAATTTACACCCATATTCTAATAAAAAAAAAACAATAATTATGTAAATAAAGTATTACTAGTATCAAAATTATATAACATTTTTTTATGAATAAATTCACCTGCAATATTGTACAGTTTCGAACTATTTGTTTTTCTGGTATTTTAGCAATTAAAGTGTCTCTCTCAGTTTTTTTAAGTTTTTCGATGGCACTATGATTGATATTTAAATGTTCTATCAAAAGGCTGGTAACACGCACGCGAGTACAGAAATATAAAACTGATTGTCCAGTATATATCCTGACAACTCTGTTTGGAAGAGATAGGCCAAACATTTCGTTTTACGTTCATTTGATTAATTGAAAAAGAGAAAAGCAGGAGAAAGAAAACTTAATATAAGATACTTAAAATAAGGTTATCCCAGTTATCGAACAAGTTACTTTCACTAACTTAATAAAATGTTGAGCAAAGCCAATCTGACTACACGGATATTTAAAAATCATTCTATACACCATTATTTTATTTAATTACAGAATAAAGGATTGAATTTATGTTATCATAAAATGTTGTTTTCCGGCGCCTATGTAAACTCGTTTGTACTAAAAGCACAAACCACGTACATAATAGATCAATCACCTAATATATTTTTTCATCACGTCATAAGGGCTCTAGAGCCCTCTTACCATTTTTATGTCACTTCCAACGTTATCAAATCAGCATAGAATAAGATTACAACATTAGTAGTGGTTGGTATTAAAACTAAATGTAAATATGAAATTACAAATAAAATATAGGACAAGATAGTATATAATTGTACACATAGTATAGACCTCTATACTTTTAAATGTATACTATACAAAGAATATAAATTAAGATCTTTCAATGAAAATTTTATCAATTAATGTGTGGTATAATATTATTATTACTTATATAATTATCTCCTAAGTATCCAGCAATTTATTTATCTCCTTCATGTACAATTTCTCATTCTCCGGTCAAATTTCGGGATTTAAACGGACGCATTCTGGCATCTCTGAGAAATGGTTTACTTACACTACTTGTTGATTCCGAAAAAAATTTCAAGATATGGTTGATTTTCATTACTTACGGGTTCCGAAAATTTTTGGGCCTCTGAGAAATGATTGACTTGTATTATTATACCCGAAGCTAATTAGAGTACATATAAATCAATAATTTCTCAGAAGCTCGAACAAATTTCTATGTCTGACTTATGGTTAACTTTCCATTATCGTAGATGGCATAACAAAACCTTTGAATTTTTACACGATTGGTATTTCAGAACGTGAAACATAAAATCCTTATATAATGATAGGTCTATTCTATACCTCGTCTGTGGATACATGATTTAGTTTCCAGAAATTTATTTTAAAGTACACAACATAATATACAATAATAATACATACATTAGTTTCTTTAGAGGGACGCAATATATGATTCTGGTTTTTTTTTCAAGTATTATAATAATATAAGTAATGTATAGTAATACATAATTTCGAAGCATTAGGTAAAACAAATTTATATACGCGGACACAAGAAGTACAATGGTTTCGTTTATGTTGACGTTCGAATGCTATGTGATATGACGAGAATACATTTCAGTACAGCAAAATTTAGATTTCGGATGGTTTGATACGTAAAATCACAGGAACGCTAGTGCACGGTAAAATGGCTAATTCCGTGACAACAGCCGTCACTAAATCAGCTGGAGTGACATCATAGGTAATATTTAAAAGGTTCAATGACTTTCTGGTTCTCCAGTTTGCGAGTAACGATTTTTTTGAACCGTTTCGATAATCTTGTGCAAGTTTATCTGCATTACCTGTAAATAAATTGGTCGTAGAAAAAGAAAACAAAGAGAAAGAAATCGATTATTTATATTTAAATTAGGCAAAAAAGAAAAAAATATAAAGTTCTGCTTACCTAATTCATTATAAACAATAGAGTCTGTTTGCACCCGTTCACAAGATTTGTGAGTCTCGCAGGCTACTAACACTGGAATATTGAAGGTTCTTGCCATCAAGGCAACTTGAGCAGTTCCTACTCTCGACATTACAGCACCATTCGCTAATATAGCATGAGCACCGAGAAACACTTTACTTACCTATTTAACAACATTATTATGAACAACAGCCTTATGAAGTATTTAAAATAGAAAGAAAATCACTGTTAATACTTACTTCAGGCATCACGTAACTTAGAGCATTAATCAAAATATAAGAACATTCAATTCCGTGCTTCACTAAGCGTCTAAGCTGTTCTTTCCCTTCCAGCCATGGTCTACCGTCGACGACGATAACACGAAACTGTTTGCCTGCGGTGTGCGCATCTAACAGTATTTTATTTATCAATGATGAACTAAAAGCAATATTAGTTTTGTTGCAAATGCGAGGGACAGGTGTATACGTTTTAGAATATTTGAACACTTACTAGCCATAAGTTAGAATAACGTCTCCGTTGGATATTTTTGTCTGAATAGTTAACGATATTGCTTTGCCAGCAAGCTGTATTTGTTCAAGAATGTAAGTATCTATTGCGCTACTTAGTTTATTCTTTGCCTGAAATGTACATTTTTATAATGTAACTTTTTAAATATCATTTCATGAAAACGTATTTAAAATCTCTAAGTATTACTTACATCTGCATCGGACAATGCGGAAGGCAATTGTGTCATTTGCCACTTCAAGTGCTTCAATGCATTTTGCATGGAAACAGCTAATGGCCTACAGTGATGCAAGTAAGCTATAGATTCCTGCAAAGTTGCTTCGAGACCTCTGATAAAATCAGCTTGTGATGGCCGCTCGAAATCCTGAATAAGCTGTTTAACAGCAGCCAAAAGTGCTACACACCTTGCATTGCTACCAACAATTACTTTGTTCGCATATTGCGCACCTAATCTAACTATAGCTAGATGTATGTTTGAATTGACAAAAGGAACATGAACATTAGATTGTTCCCTTTCATGATACAAATGTTTAAACAAATTTATTTCATGGGTGTTTTCTTTCTGAACGGTTTTTTTAGGCGTAGTTACTTTCTTTACCGTATGAGTTTCAACAATAATTTGCGTTACAGGCTTATTATCATCCTCCTCCTTACTCTTAACTTTACTTTTGTCTAGAAGTTGTTGCTTTGCTGCTCTTTGCGCTTCTTGTTTCGCCCTTCTTTCGGCGCGCAATTCCGCTTTGCTTTTTCCTTCTATCGCAGCCTCTGGCTCTGCATTTTTTACACATGTATTCGTAAGTTTATTAACTACATTCGTTTTATTAGAAGGTTCAATATTTTCCTTGGTTATATCCTTTGACGTTTCGTTACTTTGTTCATTCCTAATACTATCAATCTCATTACTTTCTTTATCTTTAATACCTGCAGACTTATTATTCGAATCATCTTTATCTCCTGCCTTAGCAGATTTAGCCTTCGCTTTGGCAAGTGCTTTAGCGGCCTTCTTTGCCTCACGTTCTGCTTTTATTTTTTCCCGTGATTTTTCAGGAACAGTTACTTTATTGTCCATCATTTTAGGTGGTATAATTACTGGTCTCTCAACTTCTGTATTCTCTACAAAACGTCAGAATATTCAAACAAATTTGGAAAATCAAAATGTGTGACTATAAATACATACCTGACAAATTAATTTCGCTTAATAGTCTATCTGTATTTTGCGCAGGAGATATTTTTACTTCGGTCGTTTCAATATCTTTTTGCAAGGAATTCAAGAGAGGGCAATTTTGAGTAATTGCTGGACAAGAATTTAGAACCAACTCAGTTTCTGATTGTTCTTTAATGGAATTGGCACTAGTTATATTTTCTTTTATGACAGAAATAAAGTGTTTATCTTGTGATTCAGTATTACTAGGAAATATTTCTGTATTATTTGCATGCATATATATTGTAACATGCAATACTATCATAGTGCATGTGAAAATATCATAACTAGCTTTTTCAAAGCATTAATTAATTAAGAAAATAATCTTACAATAGGAAAAGAACAGAAATAATTCTGGTACTAATTTGGAATTTATAAATATTTACTGACATGTTCCACTTCTTCCATCGTTGTATCAATTCTCCATCACAGATATAAGGAACATCCAGCTGGGAACACCAATGTAACTTTAGGAACTCAATATTTTATCTTCACATATACAACAATTGGAATGCAGTAACTTTTTAATACAAATATTTATTTATTCATCTATTAATAAGCCTCTGAATTAATAATAAGAAAGAAATTTGTAGGTCAATACAAATTTCCCTTTTAATAGTAAAAATTTAATATTTATGCTAAAATTTCTGATACATTTATTTTTTCATGCTTTGATGCACTCAACCTTCAGAATTGCAATGATGGAATGTTAACATATTTTAAATATTAAAGGAATGATTATATTTATTATATGAAAAATATATCATATGGTAGATGGCATTACTGGAAATATCACTAATTATGTAATAACAAAATTGAAACGCAGATTCAAAATTACGTTATCGCTAAACGTGTAGATTTGGTATAAAATTCAAATGTTATAGAACGTGTAATGAAACCTAATATTTATTGTCAAGTAAACCTATTGTCAAAGTATACATATTGTTCTATATAAATGCAAATATTTACAATATTTTACAAATGATCCATTTTAATTGATATAATGTTTTTATCTAAAAATTTGTTTTATTTTATACTCATCCATTTCATTTTTTCTAACCTCTTGTGAGTCCTTTGTTTTTAATAGAAATCACAATAAATTAATTTCTGTCCCAAATATTTTGTGTCTCAGATGTGTACCTTTTATCTTCCAATAAATAGATATTTGTTAACAGTGTGCGTCAAGAAAAAATAACGTTCCTTCACTTTTATTCACTTTTTATCTATGTGTGTATATACTCGAGTGCTCTCATCCATTCTAAGAAGTAACAATGCTTCTATCTACGGATACAATTATATATTAATTTCGAATGAAAATTTTTTTATTCAA